AAAGGAACATGGTTTCTGTATACCCGCTCATCTTACTGATCCCACTATTCTACAGCAATGAAAGATATACTCCCTTTAAAAACGCATTGTGGCATCCCTTTCTTGCTCGTTTTACTCGTCCGTAAGAAGCAACCGCCATAATATTATTGTTGTGTACTGCCGTTGTTCAGTAAGTGGATCAAATATATGCATGAAAAAGGATAGGCCGCCGTAAGTAAAAACACGTAATACTGCTGTACATATGTCTCCCCTGCTTTCGTATTGTGTTGTGCGTGATTACCGGTCCTATTTTACATATGGATGTCGAGTACATTTACTGGCGAGCATCAGCAACGTTTGATAAGATGCACGATTTAAAATCTTGGGATGGCAGTTAGAAGCAAATCGTCATATGAGTTGCGGCGAGTATTGAAAAAGCAGCGTTACTTGTTCGTTTGTTATGTTTCTGGTTTCCGTCAACGTGTGTTGTACATTTCTTCTTCTTTTCGTTGACGTGTAGTGAAGGCGAGCATATATATTCGTGGACGATTGTTGAACGATCCCTCTTTAAAATGCTGTGTGTCAAATTACAAAACCATTCAAAGTCAAAAAGATCCGCCATCTTTCCCTCCCTTTAAAAAGAAGCAAGCTCTTACCGTTACCTTCAATAATATTTCAATAAAAGCCTGTCTTCAACGTGTATACTATTTCCGAGTTTGCCATTGACTTTTTCTTTACTGCCATCTTCACTAATCTAATAAAGATTCAAAAGCCAAAAGAAATCGCGGTTATAAGAAACTCACTCTTTTTTCCCTCCTTTTCAACGCTGCTGTTCTTTTTAACACACCACATAATAAAAACTTACTTTTTATGTTACTGTCCTTTTTCCATCTGCCTGCCGCCATTAATAATTGAATGCCAATGCTGTTTAAAAAAAAAGCACAAAGTCCCTCAGCTGTTGTTGTGGGCCGCCCTTGTTAATGTGGAGGCCACTCTGCTGGCTTTGAAAAAAATTGGGGGAGGGGCGGCTTAATGTGGACTCCGTAAGGGAGTTGGTCGCGTCGCTGTGGGAACTTGAAAAAATTTACTCTGTGATTGAAAAACTTCTCTGACGTAATTTTTCTTGATGAATAACGGAAACCGGACTAACACCGGAAGGAACGAAGAGCAGCGGGTAAAAAAGCGCTAGTCGGTTGTAGATGATGGTGCTGACGTTCTGGATGAAACGGTGGAAACGCTGAGGGACTCGGCGAAAGATGATGTGGAGGAGGTGCTCAGTGGTCAATTGTAGCAGAATGTTATCGAGCGTGGACAGCACCGGAAGCGGAATATCAGGGATTAGCCTGGGCGGTGATAGAGATGGTACTCTTGGTCTGACGGTCGGCGTTGCGGCGACGCTTGTTAGTTTTCCCTTTGTAGCTGTTGGGGTTGTCCGGGCAGCCGGCCGAAATGTGCCCGACTTGTCCGCAGGTCCAGCAGGCACGATGTGCCTGAGGGCGTTCCGGGCAGATACGAACATGGTGGTCGGGTTTGTGGCAACGCGAGCAATGTAGAGCCATGGAGGCCCAGGTGGCGTAGAAGCAGTCTTCAGTTGTTTCCCATTGAACACGGTGTGCGAGGTCATAGTAAGGTTGCTCATCTCGTATAGGTTGGCGGTCCAGCACCGCGAAGCCATTGCCTAAGTACATGCCGGACACGGCGTCTCAATAGATGCCGCAGTCTAATACCTTGCCGTATACGCTGAGGCTGTTGATAATGCCCGCGACTAATGCAGTGTGGTTCCTGTAGGGGAGATGGGATAGGCGCACTTTCTTGATCTGGGCATCTCCTGATAGAGTGTTGCAGGCGAGAATGATAACGCCGTCTTTAAAGTGAAGTCCTTGGGTTAAGGCAGCTTGAATCACTTCCGGGTCCTCAGAGTAGAGCTCGATGATAACGCGAGGGCCTTCTTGGATTGATTGCGCACCACAATTCTCGGGGAACTGCTGGTTGATGGTGGCAAGAATACGCGGGATTGGTTCGGTACGGCTACTAACGTCGAAGTAGACACTGTCTGCTGAGGCGGGTGATCCACCAACACGCCAGATGTTGGAATGGATAACCCGAGTAGTGCGGGTGTTGTTTTTATCGTCAAGCAATTCTCTAGTCTCTGATTCTTGTCGCATGAGCGACTGTCGATGTTTCTGAACGACTTTGGCGAATGAAAGTCGAGGAACGTCGAGTTTTTGCGGTTTTGGGGGCGATTGGGGTGAGGCAGGGCTTGTACCCTGCCGGGTGTGATTTTTGTGCGGAAGAGCCATGATGCAAATAGATGGAATAACATGGATAAGACGAAATACATAGTATGGGTTTGAAAATTAAAAATGCCAACTTGCTGTACTTAGGAAAAACGTCCACATCAACTAGCTTTTATAACTTTAAAACTAATCACACAGAACGAACGCGTCAGAGAATTGATCTTTCAGCGATAACTGGTGGACTTCATTATCGTCACTGTCGACGGTAGCGCAATTGCAATAGTCATACGCAAAATCCGAGATGTACCTTTTTTACGCATGATATTCCACGTCTATATAATCAAGTGTCACATTGAGAGGCAAAAGCTTAGGGTTGGTCCCTCAACAACCATGACATACAACTAAGCTTATATAAAGTCTTTTTTGTCCCAGGGAAATATTAGCGTAGTATACCTCAAATTGCTACATACTCTTTCTTTTGAGCAGTGTCACTATTAAATTGAGCGCAGTGACTTCATATTGATTTAGCCTCTCAACTTTTGATGCGACACCATAACCCTTCGTCGGGTACCTTTATCCTCCTTACTGGGAGGATAACACTCTCATTAATTTTAACTTGAATGCTACAGCGCACAAAATAGCACGATCATTTTCTATACAACAAACGCGTCAATGTTTTCCCGTACTTGTGTGCAGCGGAAGCAATTGCAGGAAATTCATGCATCGGGAACTTGCCTTCCCACGAGTCCTGTACAAACTCTTTACTCCTTCCCGTTCATTCTTTATCCATTCATGACACATTAGCAATAGGTTATCAAAAGAAAGGGCAGGTCTTTAGCTTTAACATGATACTAATATCATGTACAGTTACGACGATAATTGCGGCGGAATATTGCTTTGGAAATTGCCTAGTCTTAAAAAGACGATGCCAGGTTCCCCTACACCGTGTCTAAAACTTGTTTCTCCAACAATCGAGTCTGAAACTCAGTTGCGACAGTGCCCTCTTCTTCCTTCCTTTTCAAATAAACTGACTATGTTCGTCATTCAGCAAAGAAATATTCATGTAGAGCAGAGCCGTGGCTATAGAATGATGCCAATATTGATACAATCCTCGAATTATAAACGACGACACTATAGCTAATAATGTAGAATGGTCAATGAAAAACGATCGTTTCTCTGCCGCACTGTTGACTGAAACATGCATTGTGCTCTTTCTTAATGTTGACCTCATCGCCTATGCGCTCGTTTGGCTATTGGACAACAGACAAATCACGCAATTGCCAAAGAATCTAATTGATTGTTCCAATTATTCACAACGAGTCTTATATAAAAAGGTACGCGTACCCACCCATCCATAGTTCTTTGGCCTCTTCTCTTCCGCTTCTTTCTCCTTCTCCTTCTCCTCCTCCTCCTCGTCACCAACTGTACGTATAACTCTTGGGAAACGGGATCCATCGCATGGCCGTGCGTGTGGTAGTGTGAATGTCTGTCAAGAAGTATCACGACGACTCACGATCAAATCTCTTGCTTTCTTTCATTTCTATAGCCGTCTCCTCCTCGGCCTCGCCCGGTTACTGCTTTAATGGAGGAGAGAAGCAAGAGTGTACATGGTGTGTGTCAAAGATGATGATGACTGTGCTATTGATTACTCACGATCGAGCCTTAACCAAAAATTCCCTTCTACAAAATAATTAGGAGGTCACCCGCGAACACATGGAGAAAATCGACAACAAAATATACAACGGCCGCTCCGTCAACAATGAAGTCAAGAGACTCATCGCCTCAGCCTCCTCAAACGAGAACCTGAGTCAAATGTTTGTCGGTAAAGTATAGATACACGTCTCCCATCTGTTTCTGATCTATTGACCTTATGATGACTAACATTGTTTACCGTCTGTATATGTTATATACATAAATAGGCTGGGCACCTTACATATAATACTCAATAAAATAAAATTGCAAATATAATATGCTCCTAGCATATACATGTATATACATTACTCCTCTATTATCAGAAAAGTGATTCCATAGCATATCTAACAAACAAACCACCTAAGTACAATTGCCTGGGCGCAAGTATTCTGTTCTTCGTTGTCATTTCTTTCAGTATTGTACATACTTTAAGTACGTTAAGCTTTTTATTAAACTCTTATTATTCCCGTTCCAAAGACCTTGTTCATCTCGAACAATGACGCCCGAGCTATTTTTTTGCAAAAGTAAATATACTTGTCCGTAGAGCAAGTAAAACGATAAGGGCTCTCGAAAAGCGCTATGGCGTAGTTATCCGATAGGTTTTGTTAACGTCAGTAAGCCTGTATCGCCCAGTTCATGCATACCTGTGATCTGCAGCAACATAAAGCTTCTATCCAACTTCTGGCACGGGCTTTGTAAACTGTTGGTTGTAACACGCCGATCACTTTTTACTACCCTATGTAGCATTGAATCAACAGATACCGGGACAGCCAAAGTTAGTTAGTGTTGATACAGAATTGCTAGCATACTTGGGTATGTGATGGTGCTCCATTCATGTGTATATGTACGTAATTGTTGTATTATATATGTATGTGGGTTACAGTAGTACAGTCAATAATGAGAACGTTCGCTATATTGAAGCAAAGTGTGTATCTTTCGAAATTTTTAAATCCAAAATCATGCAACATATATACGTTATCAAAAGCTGCAGATCGAAAATACGATATGGACAAAGATTGCGTTTGTCGATTTTTAAGGATGAAACACAATGGGATCGCAACATAGCTCACTTATTAGTGGGAAATCAACACAATGAAGAACAATGTGTATACTGCTGCCTGTATGCCCAAAGCTGTACTACTGTATGTAAATTTATATAAATGTTCCCTTGACATCTGATTACCTATCAACATTATAGGCTACTCCCACTTCTTTCTTTACTTAACTTACTCAACTACAACTACAGTACCTTTAGCCTCCTCCTCATACGTACATATTCAGTGCGATTTTAAGCCGCCATTAATCAACTTTCGTTGCTAACCACCTGCAACTTATGTATACGAGCTGGTCAATAGAAGATACCATTGTCAGTTCGGAGCTGAAATGGTATCGCGTCAGTGACCTGATCGATTATATATACACGGTACAAGAATAGTTATTTACCATTGACTACCAAGGTGAGAAGTTCAAGGCGCCTTTGTTAGAGCACTTGTCTCCTGCGACAGAACAGCGCAGATTCGAAAAAGGAGATACTCTGATATGCGAAAGCGTCGCACCTTGGTCCAGATGTCTTCCCCAATTGTTTTACACGGCTAGCCTAGTAGCAAAGACGGTCCAGGGGAAATATTCTACATTCGGCGCTGCTGCTGTTGATGAAGACGGTAACCATCCTAGAATGGTCTTGCTTGAACATCTTGCACAAGCTCTCCAATATATCGAATCTTGGCAGGGCGTCTTTGACCGAACGGCTTTTGAGAAACGGTACAAACTTGACTGGATTGATGATGATGATGTGGCCTGTGATGTTGACTATCACGACGAAAGCGACGCCAAGCCAAAATTTTCAAAGCGATCTAGGAGTGGTGACGCATCGAAGGACCAGAGACGAAAAAATGGTGGTCAGCATATCGTGCCCATTGTAAAGCCCATTGAAGGAACGAAGCAAGAAGACAGAAAAGAAGAAAAACACAATGGTGAAACCAGAGCGGATTTCAACGATCCAATCGAGTCGACAAGAATGGAAAAGGAAAATTCATCTGCAACGAACAACCTCACACCCGACCAAGATAATCCACCGGAAGATATGCAGCACTGTAGCAAAAGTACAGAATTTTGCACTGTATTGAAGTAAAATGTTCCAATAAGAATCCAAATTAGCGATTCCTCATAACCTTTCTTAACTGGCTTGTTATGATACAATAGTACTCCTCTTTTTAGTTTCATTTGAGAAAAAAAGTCTTTGAGCGCTGACACTTCTTTTATCTGTTAAACAGTTTATAGCACATCATACACTTCTTTAGCTGATATTATTTCTGGTAACAATATAACGATTTACACTGAGACGGCAAATTAAAAATTGTTCAGCTATTTATAAAAGACAGCAACGTCTGCAGTATTTTCTACATCCAAGAGATGTGACTATAAGCAAGAAATCTTTTTAAGAAGAGCACGCACACAAAATACAGATTCAGGACATGATATAGACAATAAGAGGATGGCATTGAATACGCATCAATCACTCTAGCAGGAATACTGCTCAATTAGATAGCATCGAACGTGTAGCATCCCAAAAACAGTACAGCAGGTCAAAGCGACAGTACGATCTCGTCGAAAGAATCAAATATACACTCGGTTGCCTCTTTTTCAGGCACACGCAAGGAAACTCAGCTTTGCTCTTTTTTTTTCTCACTTCGACATAATATAAAAAGTATAGAATGGATAATTCGGCATCACCGATTCCACTGGACGTGGCAAAAGCTATAAATATGAAACTATAATTATACGCTGTAACAAAGCACCTTTGTTTGAATAAGTGAAAGGCGTAGGCACCAAAAAGCAAAGACTAATGGTTGAAAATGCTGCTAGCCAAGCGACAGTAACATGGGCGAAACAATAATGCTGTAAGCCAAACGAGGGGCCGTTGCCCAAGTGACGATGCCGTTGACGAAATAAATTGCTGCAAGCAAATTAGTAACGCCGTTAGTGAAAAAGAGAGCCATTGACCAAGTGAAAATGCCGTTAGGCGGAAAAAGGGGCCATTAGCGAAATAAAATGCTGTTGGCGAACGAAATGGCAAATCCTGTAAACCAAAAAAAAAATCCCGTTCGCGAAAATTTTAGAGCCCGTGTCCGGGATTGGATACCTTTTTTTTCTCCTCAATTTCTCTATTAATACATATAATTTCGGACAACATGCATCTTGCTGGCAATTTATGCTCAAATATTTATATGTATTTAAAATTAAGCATCACGATCACTTGTATAACACGTATTCTTTCTAGTATGCACCACCCTGTATCCTGCGGACTTATACATGACGATAAACCGTTGCTCTGCTTCTTGACAAGTCTGCTTGACCACATCACAAGGCTAGTAACATTGCTTTATACTTACTTAATCGCAGTAATGAGTGAGACGCATACATACATATCAGATGAGATAAATACTGATACCACATAATATAATGTACGTTATCAAGCACGGATGCACCATATATACCGTACTTATAATGCAAGAAAAAGCCAGTTGGTTTAAGGGTCTTTTGAATTTGCTACGCTCACGCGAGACTAACTGCTAAGAGCACCTGCAGCGGTCGCTGTTACGAAACTGTTAAATTTCAGAGTTTAACAGCCCGCTTAACAGTGCGTAACAGCTTAACAGGGCATTTCGTGCAGCGGTTACTGTTACGAAGCTGTTAACTTCACACGTCGTTGGTTTCAATGAAAGCTTTGCCCTTTCTCCTGAGCAGGGGGCAGCGGCAGAAACGTCAGACAGGCGAGTGGCGTTAGAAGTATCGTTGTTCAATTTGAAGAATACAAACAAAGAATGAAGTGAGATATAGCTTTATTTTTCAAGTGCTTTTTCTCGATTCAAGAAACTGTTAAATTTAACAGTTTTTGTTCGGGCTGTTAAATTTAACAGGACGTTAACAGCAACCGCTGCAAGGTCTGGCTGTTAAATAAACTGTTAAATTTAACATAACAGGTTCTTAACAGCGACCGCTGCAGGTGCTCTAAAAGAGAGTCAAAGCTTCCTTCGGTCCCATATCGCTGTTACCTGAGCTAATCAACCTGTTAAATGTTTTACTTCTCCTTTTAGATTAGCTGGTATGGAACTAAGCTTTTTTCACTATAGTCATAATTCCCCAGTGCGTGATGCTGCTGTAGGAATGGTCACTCTATTCAAACCTTGAAAACCAGCACTCGTTGTCGTTGACCACGGCACACACTGGTTTCCCTCTCTTTTTTCTCATCCACTGTCGTAGTTCGATTTAATTAGTGTGTCTTCGTAATCGTATCGTTCTTCTGCTTCATCACCTTAGCCGCTTCTTGACGCCGGACAATTGTGGATGCACGCCTTTATCAAGGCATCAATACCAAGTACAAACCACCAAGCCAGCAAGATCTGCTATGAAGTATGGACATCCAAGAAGGATAGAAGGATGAAAGGTAAAATGCATGAAAGGAAGGATGGGTGGAAGTCGGAGGGAAGACAACACTCAAATATATGTATCAAACGGATGTTTGTGCTACACCTACGTTGTATTTTGTTCTGAGTGCTGGCTGCTAAGGATAAAGCTGGAATACTTGTTGTTCGTCCCATAAGAGCCATTAATCACTGGCTTTATCGGTACAGAATAGCTTCTGTTTATTATTTTTTCTCAGAACTGTGGGTTAACCGGACAGCATGCTCTGGTACACCCAGGTATGTCAGTTCTCCCCAAAATAAAAACATCATTCGCCATTTATCGGACAACAAAATCAAGGCATCCTTCCCCACGCGATGTGAAACTAGTGCTGTAATATGACACCTTATATAGACATGATACAGCTCTGTGGCGAGAAAGAATTATGCGACTCGTAAGTGATTTGGGACGAACAATGATACTATACAGCTTTTTTCTAGTTTTGTACTTCAAATAAAACCAAAGATACGAGCGATGAGGACAGGCTACAATATAGAGAGCGAGACAGCATGCTCCCTATATTCCGGCTTTAAAGACACGGCAACGCGGATGTACCATCAACTCAGAGGCATCTGAGAATCCCACTAGTACGACTTTGGGCGCAAAAGATACGACTTGATAAAAGACACTAAAAGGCCCCACACTCAGTGTATTTGAGAATATTAACAAGAGACAGTATCTGGTTGAAGCTCGTGTAAAATTACCCAAGCTGATAGCATAGTAACCCAGGTGTCTAGACGTGGCTGGACTTTTATTGTGTCCCTTCTACTCATACAACCCCTGCACATCTGACACAAATTCCTCACCATGACTTCTGGGGCAGCAGCATGCTGCAACTGTGTGGGAGTCGTTCCACGTATAAAAAGAAAGCTAAGCACCCGTTGACCCGGTGGGGCGGTTTCACATACAGACGATGAAAGAAGTTTTTTTTGTAAGCGGGATTATGAGTGATTGATTATCTGGTTACATTGCGTAAAAAACAGGGTCCAACAGAGAAGTGTTTCAGAAAAAATTCAGGGTTCAACACGGCGGGGTACTTACTTGCTGCTCTTTTTTTTTTCTGGGTGGCAAATTAAATCAACAGTTTTTTATCCCCGCAATTGAATGGAAATCCTCTTCTCTCTTGTATTAGTAACCAAAGAGAAATATATCTGTGTGCACATGCATGATGTCATAAGTATTATGCACAGCTACAAATGGGAAGCAAACTGATCAAGCGGTTAGGTCCATAATTGTTCATGCTGCTGCTCTTGCTACAAGCGAAGATAGTGGGGGATGACCTCACTCGGAGAAACTTTTTCTTTTTTAGGTCGGCGACTTTTTTTTCTCTCGGTTTATCTTGGCCCTGCGCAACGACAAATTTTTTTTTCCCTTTGTTCAGGGTGTTACCCTGTGAAAAGCAGGGCTCCGAAAAGAAATTGGGAAAGGGAAAGATGAGTCAGCGAAGCCCCAATAGGTCGTGGTGGTAACGTCAGGGTCGGAGCAGCCAGAGCAGGGACTGTTAGGTAATCAGCTGACAGCCAATCAAACAGTGCATGCGATGATTCGGGCTCGGGTTCTGTGTATCCATAGCAACAACTTATCTATGGCAACAAAATACGGTTGCTATGACGACAACGAGGATACTTGTTGTTGTGTACGTGTGGGTAAATAATACATATGCACATGGCTCTTTTTGGGGAGAAGATTAAAGAAGTGTTATTGAAGCGTTCGATACTGAGCGAACAAGGAAGGAATTAGCGCAAAAAACAGGGCCCTAATCTTTATGTAATCAGGTGAGTTAATGAGAGAGAAACTTAAGGGTCAAGGGCCTGGAGGATTGATTCACCGGCCTTTTTTGTTTTATATAGCGTCGTCAGAAACCCTTCTCTTCTTGCTCTTTCTTTCTTTCTTCTTCTTCGTTAACTGTCTTTTCTTTTTCCCAATACTTTCCAACATTCCATACCCCCATCTCCACAAATAAACAATAACATACAATGAGATTGATTGTCCGTGAAGATTACAGCGAAGTCTCGACTTATATCGGTAAGTTCACTCGCCCCTCCCCTGCAAATACTCCTCCATCCAGCCATACAACTTGGCAGTGCTTCATGTTTTGGCACAAAACGAAGTACGAAATATTCATAAGATGACAATAGCAAAGTACATCAAGGAGCGTATTCGACAGTTCAAGCCCTCTGCCGAGCGTCCCTTTGTCCTCGGTCTTCCTACCGGCTCCTCTCCCATTGGCACCTACAAGGCCCTCGTTGAGCTGCACAAGGCCGGCGACCTCTCGTTTGAGCATGTGGTTACGTTCAACATGGACGAATACGTCGGTCTGGCTCGTGACCACCCTGAATCGTATCACTCGTTCATGTGGAAGAATCTCTTTATGCATGTGGATATCAAGCCCGAGAACGTCCACATTCTGGATGGCAATGCTGAGGATCTGGACGAGGAGTGCAATCGCTTTGAAGCCGAGATTGCCCGTGTGGGTGGCATCGAACTGTTCCTAGGCGGTATCGGCCCTGATGGTCACATTGCCTTCAACGAACCCGGTTCCAGCTTAACCAGCCGCACTCGTGTCAAGACTCTTGCGTATGAAACCATTATTGCAAATGCTCGGTTCTTTGACGGTGATGTCAGCAAGGTGCCTAAACTGGCCTTGACGGTCGGAGTAGCGTAAGTGTTGCATCAAACATCTATCTTCTTAACGCACAACAAACAGACCAGTGGCGTCTGAGTATAGAAATTTTTACAAAAAAGTGTAAATGATCAAACACCTTTGTTGATGAAACAAAAAAACTTTCCGGATTGTTAGTACTGTCATGGATGCTCGGGAAGTCTGTATCATCATTACTGGTGCACACAAGGTAAGGCTATCATCATTGGTGGGAGTTTTACATAAGAGAGACGCACCACTATGAACCCAAATATAGAGTAGTGTGAAAGAGAGAGGGGACCCTTGGGAAATCCTGGTGTAACTGATAAGGGATCACTCACTCACTCTTTTTTTCCCTTTGCTCTTAGTCAATCGCACTTGCCAAATGCATCGAAGACGGTGTGAACCATATGTGGACCGTTTCGGCAGTACAGATGCACCCCAAGGGTCTAATTGTCTGTGACGAGGACGCGACCCTGGAGTTGCACGTAAAGGTAAGCAAGAAAAGAAAAACGAGAGAGTGTAAAAAAAAAGGGAACAAGACATATCCTCTGTACTACCTTCCCACACATGAAAACGAAAACGGATGGCTGATCTAATTGTCGTTCTCTCTTGTGTACGCATCTTATATTTAGACCGTCAAGTACTTCAAGTCTATCGAGCATGTGCATCATTCACTTATTGGTGCTGAAAACTTGTCGCTTCAGGGTAAGTTTTATTGCCTAGTAGAGATAGTTGCTAGAGACAAACCCCGTACTTGTGTCATTTATTTTACTCACCCTTTTTTACTCTTACTGTGCCAACTCCAATGCAGGCGGCGTCAAGCAGCTCCGAAGTCCCACATCGCCCAGCCATCCCAAGATGCCCTTCGAGTAAAAGAGTACATACAACAAAAGGGAGAGTTATTTTACATAATCCAAGCAACATCATCAACCGCCCTTCACACAACACCCACACACTCATTCAGACATAGCCAAATTACTCTCTTTTATCTTCCCCCCCTCTTTGTGCATTTCCCCCCTCATATCATGCTTTTATCACACAATAAAGAATCTTCTATAATTACTAAGCACTGTGACTATATACACTACAACTGATGCTACTAATATCCGGTGGATGAAATCGAGAGAAAACGAAGAAGGAGCTCGTGGCTACACATGTATATATGGAACAGGGTTCAAGGCAACGGGTTTTCTAAGCATTCAGGGTCTCAGGGAACGATTCGTCTGTGCAACGGGAAAAGACCACCTGACACACCACAAACGGACACCATCACACTCAGCCCTTCTCAAAAGGTGATAAAAGCTTTTTCTTTTTCTCTTGTGCTCTCTCTCTTTCTCGTTTCCACTTTTTTCTTTCTTCTCCTTCTCTCTTACTATTTCTCTCTCTATCCCCCCTCTTCCTTGTCTGTTTGTTGTTTTCCAACCTTGTTGCTAGGCCATCTTCTTCTTTTATCACCTATCCTAGCACCGTAATACATTTACACCTAAATTTACTATAGTATTATGGCCGCCACTAATTATACTAGTAACAACAACAAGGAGAAGATCATTAAACGTCTCGATTGGATCCGACAAGACTTCACATTGACTCCCGCTATATTTAAAGCCATTGTAGAAGGATTCAAGCAAGAATGCGACCAAGGCCTCAACACAGCATCAGCTTCAGGGCTTGCCACCATGATCCCATCCTACGTTACTCGTCTTCCAACAGGTCATGAAACCGGAATTTACCTCGCCCTTGATCTCGGTGGCAGCACATTACGCGTCTGTGCAGTGCAACTCCTAGGCCAAGGACAAGTCAATGTTACCGAAGTTCGACGCTCGATTACGGACCAGTTACGAACATCCTCAACCATTGTTTTCTTTGATTGGATCGCCGACACGGTTGCGGAGCTGTATGCATTACTGCCAAACCAACATGTAGCACGCGACAATGATGCATCACCTCCACCGCAGCTGGCCATGGGCGTAAGCTGGAGCTTTCCATTAGAGTATGTATTATGCAAAGCAGACTCGCATAAGCTTGCATCTTACTATTTGAAGAAATGTATTGTGTTGTAATTTATCGTTCACCTGATATATATGGATGATCTCTTTGATAGCCAAACAGGGATCAGCAAAGGTACCATACTCCGCATGGGCAAGGGGTTCACCGTTACAGATGGGATCGACGGCCAGGACCTCGCCACCTTTTTCCTTGAAGCTTTCCAACGCAAGGTATCTCTCTATGTCATCTTTTGTTTTGATTTACAGATATACATCTGATAATAGCCCTATATTATTTGCTCATAACCCATCCTCCTGCTGACACGTACACACAAACAAACAATTGATCATCACTTACCTACCTGTTGTAGAATATCCCCGTGGTTGTCACTGCCATTGTCAACGATACCATAGGAGCTCTTGTTGCACACGCATACAGCAATCCACAAGCCCGGGTTGGCTTCATCTACGGCACTGGTGTGAATGCTGCGTACCCAGAAAAAGTATCACGGATCATCAAGCTCAACGTCGCCGAATGGCAGGACACTGCCACTGAAATGCTTGTCAATACCGAAATAGATATTTTTGGAAATGAGTCCTACTTGCCACTCACACGTTTCGATCGTGCCTTGGATGCAAGCCACGCACAACCTGGGTTCCAACCATATGAGAAAATGATGTCTGGAGCCTATCTTGGCGAGCTGGTGCGACTTGTCGCTGTTGATCTCGTGAATGATCGAGAGTTGTTTGATGGCCATGTGCCGTACCTGTTGGCTCAACCGTGGTCCTTCTTAACTGCTCATATGAGTGAAATCGAAGGGTACGCACAAAAGTATCATTTTTTCATACACTGTTTGTCTCTCTCTCTCTCTACACTAATAACCCATGAAATTTCTTAACCAACTGGCATGAACTTAAATAGATACTCAAGTGATGATCATCAGCTTGTTGTCAGTCGCGTTACCGAGTTGCTTCAATTTGCCGATAACTATACCCCCACTGAAGCTGATATCGATGTCTTTTTGGATATCTGCGTCATGGTGTCTACGCGTGCTGCTGGACTTGCTGCTGCCGCCCTCGTTGCCATTATCGAACAACAATCGTTTAAACCCGATCAAGACATTGTCGTTGGTGTGAACGGCACGACATTTGAAATGTACCCAGGCATGCCACAACGGATCCACCGAGCGCTGGAACAATGGTTCGGCGAAAGCATAGCCAAGCGTATCAAATTAGAAGTGGCTCGTGACGGCGGAAGTATTGGTGCCGCCCTTGTTGCCATGCTGTACCAAGAAGGGTAAGTGATATGTGTCTCTCAATTTTTTCCAAGAGACGCTTTTATTTCCCTCACGCTCCTGCATCTTCTCCGTGTTTGTTTTATACTGATCGTCAATTCGATTTTTACTAGTGTTCACTCGAGTATGCAGAGCTCCTCGTCATCTACTGCAAGAGAAAGTCCTCAAACAAAGAAAAACGACAATCAGCGTCATTCGTCATCAACGACCGAAGAAGGTCCCCATCGCCATCATCGACGTCAACGTCGTCGTGCTCGTGATGGCGATAGCAAATGTGCACCCTTTTTGGATTGTTTCTTTGGCTGGGCACCATGGTGGAAGCAGAGCAACAAACGTGCCGGTCCTGGCACTGAATCCGTTTCCTCGTTGTCTATGGCCAAAGACGAGAAACATTCTGCATAGTGTATTTTGTCATGCTTCGCCGTTTTCTTACAATACTTCTTCTTTACTGCTGCACTACTGTCGTTGCCATCATATATTACTATTCCATACGAAATCACACCAACACATACACTCTCTCCCCAACCTTAACTTTCTCTCTATTCTCGAATATTTAAAGAAAGCTTTGTGCTGGACACAGACACATGCTTGTTCGTTGTTGTTAATGGCAATCCATCGTGAAGTAATAGACTGTTTTTCTCCTCGCTTCCAAACAACGGTGGTAAGCATAAAAAGACACACTATAAAACATATAAACAAATACCCCTGAAAGGCTTGCCCATGACTAGATTTCCGTTGTGCATTGCATGGCGTAAATACGGCAATACATACACTCAGCAGTTATCGTTGAATTTAATGAGCAAATTATGTAGTAGCGTTTATGTAGGTCTTTTTTTTTGCCAATAAAGAGTTTGTATGTAATAGATGCAAAGTTTATAACGAGTTTTCAACGTCGTTGAGCAACATGCGTCGGGAAGCCTTTTGGGCACTCTGTCGAGTTGAGGATGATCGTTTTGCTGGGATAGTTTTTCGTGTTTTTGATGACGATGCTGAAGAAGAGGAGGAGGCAGAAGAAGAAGGGGATGCACGTAACGATGTATCGACATATGCTGAATTGAGTGCTTTCAGCACAGCAATGAGCTTATGGTTGACATGTGCAGCAGTGGCAATATCGTCTGGGAGTGATGAGCGGCAGCTGAAGCATGTGTTGCTGTTATCGCGTCGTAAGCATTTTAGGCAGCAAATGTGGCCACACGGGGTGGTGATCGGATTCTGTGTAAATAGTGCGGTTAGAACGGGGAGAGGCTTCTGTATATATTGAGCGCATAATGCAGCTTTGTTTTTTTTATTTGACCAACTTACGCTGATAGGAACACTGCATGCGCCACTCGAGCAAACAACCGCATCAGAAAACACATAGTGTAACAACTCGTATTCGGACCAAAACACCTGAGACTTGATGTCCTCCCACACGCGCTTATCCGCTGCGTCAGCATCCATCAAGCCAAGCACTTTTTTGGGTATCTTGTATTGCACGAGTTGCTTGGTCTTTTTGCTGTCCGGCATAATCATCCGCAAGCCTCGCTCTTTGATCAGCTTCTTGCCTTCGGGCGTCCATGGTGGTGGTTCAGTATCGTCGCGACGCATCAAGAAACGCCAAACTGTGAATCCGCTCTTGCCCTTCTCAGGCCAGTACTTTACAATCTTGTACAGTCCATCGTAGCGTACACCTTCATCAGGTGCATAGGTTGGGTTATGTTTCTTGAGTGCGAATGTGCGGCAGACACGGATCGGTCGGCTTTTCTTCCAGTCTGCAGCCTTTGCGCCTTTTGTTTTATCAACCTTGGCCGCACACGTAGATGCCAATGCCAGATTGAAGCGTGTCAATGTTTGGTCGGTTGCATGGCCTCCTAGTCGCTTGTTGTTGGATAGATCACGGCCACCGCTGCCCGTATAGTAGAATTCATTGCCATTGTCTCTATCGTCGTCGTAGCCAGCAGAGAGTACAATTGACACTGCACCGGATGATTCTGTACCGGCAATACCACCAACAGGAGGTCTACACATACGTGTCTAGTTCAGTCTACCCACCTTATACATCCAAAAGAACCCTTCATCTTCTCAGCTTCCATCCTTTGGGGATTTTTTTTTACCTATGGACACCCCACTCGCTTGCATGCATTCGATACTGCCAGGATTGGCCACAGTAGATGCCCGGAATCGCACCGACATGATCCTTATGCACAATCACACACTCTGCGTTTCGACCTGCACAAGAGACACCACCACCCCAGTTTTTCGTTTGCTGAGCACCGCGAGATTTGGCTTTTTTGGAGCTGGACATATCGACTGCTTTGCCAGAGTTAATGACTATCTCGCCATCCTTGTTCACGCAAAGTGGGCAGTACCTTTAACATCATCTCCAATTGCACATCAGTCTCTTTCTTTCTTTCTTTCTCCAGTACAGTCTTTTTGGATGAATAAATTGGTTTGTCTGCCCTTACCAATATTGTTCTTCAGGCACCTTGCTCAAACCGCAGCACTCCAAATGCCAGTAGCCTTCACATTGATCGCAGATCTATTTGTCGTCGTCAATGTCGTCCCGCCATACAATTTAGTATCCCTTTACTTTTTGTTTCTGTTGCCAGATACCATCACAAGCTATATGGGTATATGCACTTACCAAAGGATCTCCCGATTTCTTCAAGCATTTTATGCAGCCGCATTCGCTACAGTCCTTTACTTTGTCATCGTTATGGCATGTTTTGCACTGGTAAGTTTTAGATTCGTCCGTAGCTTGCTCGCTCGTATTTGCAGACGCTGTTTCTGTCGCTGTTGATGATGGTATCGTTGCTTCCGCAGCAATTACAGCCTTTTCCTCCTTAACATTGCTTTGTAGCTGTCCCTTTTGAACGTCACTCTTGTCCTCTCTTTCCTTTTTGTTGTCGTCATTATTTTCTTCGTCTTTCTGTGCTTGAGTATCGTCCTTTCCAGGAACCAGCGCTTCTTCTTGGTTCTTGTCAACTACTTGTACAAGCACAAGTGCATTCTCCTTGACACCATATGTTAAAAACAACTTTGCCAAAGTTCCGTCTGCGCACTCGTCCATGAGCTATTATTTATTGAGATCAAAATTCGTAATTCGCGGCAAGAAAGTTTTGTCCATTCGTTAGTCAGCAAGTCTAAAACAAAGGGGAGCTTTATATTGACAGCGGTGTCTTTTTTTCTTTTTCTGTTTACCATTTTGCCCAGGGCGAATAACCGGACGGTGGAGGGATCAACTTGATACCTTTCAGCTACGGAATGACGCAAAGCTTGGACATTTTCACTCTTGGACACTGTCAAGCTGAACTTTTCAGAACTCAGGCGAGGACAGTGGAATAAAATATGCATCCTGATTGCCCCACTGTAAAGAGAAAGTAAATAACAAACAGTGGACGGAGAAAGGTGCGTGTGAAGAGGAAAAAGGTACGCAAAAAAAGAGGGTGCAGCACCCCAAAAACGTCGTGACTATTTTAACGCGTATCACAGAAAACGCGCCCTTGTTTTTTTGGTTTCCTGCCACTGTAATTTTTATTTCGCGATGGCGGAGCGTGTTGTACCTTCTCTCTAGACCATCATTTCCTATCAGTTTTCTATACTCATGATGTCATGGAGCACTATACATTCAGCAAAAACAAATAAAAGAGTGCATATGGCTGCCTTAGACGGGTGTTTTAGAGAATAGACCAAGCAGTAATCTTCTGATTACCTTCAAAAGATCGGCACCGGTTCTTTTTGATCACATGTTTGATGAGGGAGTGTTTTTCTTTGAAAAGGATGGCTCTACTCGTTGACTTTGTGTACTAATCACAGATCAGTCCGTATGTATGTATATAGCTTGTATATAATAGGATAGAACAATCAATTAAAAAATATGATTTGATGATGTGCCCACTATAACTTCCTTCTTCTTCAGCATCGTTATGTTGTTGTTGTTGTTGTTGTTGATACAGGCATGCATCTAATCTAAAATTCAAGGTTGTTTCTCTGCAGTATTAGTAAGCCATTGTCAAAAGAGTATCAAGTCAATCTATAGCTGCTCATGTTGCTTACATATTGAATGTTTTCATTATCGTGAAATGCATAGTGAGTAGTAGAAAGCTCTCTTTAAGCAGCTTTGCTTGGTTGGAAATGGTATTTTACGAATGTTTATAACGAAACGAAAAGCCTAGTGCGTATATATATATATTCAAAAGCAGGCTATCAATGGGTGTACTAGAGAGGATGGAATAAAAAAAGCAACGCTAATCTGCCCTCTAATCTTTGATCCCAAATTAGTTGTGCTTGGAGGAGTAAGAAACTTTGGACGCGAAAAAGGTCACACACAAAAAATCTGCCTTTGTTCTCTTTATGCTCGCTGGTCTTTTCTCATACTCCCGTTAGTTGAATTCAATGGAGCTCCACAGCGAAGTAAGTCTTCTCTTGTTCCTCCTAGCCAACCGTCACCCATCTACGAATGCAATTCGCTTTGCATTTTCCTTTTTCCTTTCTTCACGCACTCATCTGATGCCACCTTTTTCCCCTTCAACTAATTCTTTCTTTGTGCTGCACATGGAATCGCTGTAGACTGCGGTGAGACGGCTGAGGTCCAGAAGCGTCAAAACAGCAAACGAAAAAGAAACATCAACTACGGAGAAAAATGTCCTTACAGAAGCCAAAGATGCGAAATCCCTGGCAGGACAACATTTAGGCGCACGCGCAGCACTTGGCGATAAAAGCAACAACACTAAAGCAAAAGCTGTATGTTCTCCAAACCCCCCCCCCTTTCCTTTTCATGCAACGTACAGAGAAACAAAGAAAAGAACGCTCGTTTTTTTTATATTAACATACCAACAAATAAACCTATTTATCCAGGCACGGATTCAACAACAGCTTTTACAACAAAAGAAAGAATCACATACCCATCAACAATCACAGCAGCAGCAACAGCAGCAAAAGGAACTGGACGATGAGATCAAAGAGTTCTTTTCAGACAATGCTGAACGATACAAAAAGGACGATAAAAATCAACCCTTCGTGATGCCTGTACTACCCATCGAGGCTCCTCAACGTGTTTGGAAACGCTTTGAACTCACCAGATCCCTCTCCCAGGCGCAGTTGACAAGCAAAAGAGACCGAATGGCACCACACATGTCTTCAAATAATCCATCATACTCAATGTCCGAAGATGACCGCGATATGTATAAAGAAGCGTTAGCCTACGATCGGGAGCTAGAACTGCGTGCTGAACAGGCAAAACTGCAGGACCCAACCTACGTCGCATCTCGGCGTGACCCAATGTTAGTTGAAGAATACGAGGAGGAAATATTCAAACATCTCCGTGAATCAGAGGTAAGAGGTTTTTTTATCGTTGTTTCTACTAATATTACTAGTAAACAAGGAGGATATGTATACTCACAAACTCTGCCTTCTCGCCATTACCCTCTTACGCAAACGAACATAAACAATGCGCATCATCATCGATATCAGCTTGAAACACTTGCCGATCCAGATTATATATCGAATCACACAGAAATATCATGGAAAATGCGTGGCGTACTGATAGACTGGGTGATTGAAATCCACTACCTGTTCCAGCTGCTTCCAGAAACATTATTTCTGGCTGTAAATATTATCGACCGATTTCTCTCCAAACGCGTTGTAGCACTTAGCAAGCTGCAACTGGTGGGCATTGCCGCCCTTTTCATTGCGACCAAGTTTGAAGAGGTCAGCTCGCCACGGCTCAAGGATTTCATCTGGATGACCGACCAGTCACTCAAGGAGGAAGAATTGATGAAGGCCGAACGCTTTGTTGCTCAAGTGCTCGATTTCAAGCTGACCTATGCCAATCCACTCAACTTTTTAAGACGCGCATCAAAAACAGATGATTATGATGTCCACAGTCGCATGCTGGCAAAGTACTTTATGGAAATATCTTGTGTGGATCATCGTTTTATTCCTATCCCACCGTCCAAAGTCGCCGCCGCTTCGCTATGGCTTTCACAACGTATACTCACTAATGGAACATGGGTAAGTTCTATCGACAAAGGCCAGATGGTCGCGCCAGAAAGAACAGTGAGTAGTTTGACTCATTGCAAGAATTTTTTTGCTGTAATATGTAGACGGAAGAAAGAGCACGGCTGGCTGGCTACAGGGCGTCTGAAATTCGACCAGTGGTCCAGCTCATGTTGGATTATGTGTCCCAACCAATGATACACGACGCGTTCTTCCGAAAGTGGGCCTCGAAAAGGCTGATGAAGGCTAGTGTGTTTGTACGTACATGGGTTCAACAGTATTATAAGAACAAGTAAATATATCATCATATATCACATTCTACCATTTTCTTCTTTAAACAACACAAACTACATAAATACAACACAATCTATTTAACCACTTTACCGTGGTTTTGTTCATATATCAATATGTATGTGCTTGTCACCTTGTTAATTTGTTGTTTTGTTTGCATGCCATCATGACATCCATTTCTCTGAAAGTATACAAGTGGGCTTTTCGCACGGCCGAATCGACAAAGCTCGACATTTAATGTGGCCTTTGCCACAAGTACGGAGCACATTAACCGTGGCGTGTACAGGACAGTTAGCGATACGATACGGTTGTTGTTGCTGCTCTGCTGATATTAGTGGGATGCATTCAATTATCCAAGCGTCGAGTGTGTTGTTCTAACGTCGATCGCCGCCTGAAACCAGGACTAGGGCCTGAAACCAGGACTATGGGACTTAAATCATGCATGAAAGCTTGGCTGGATGAGAGATGGGTGCTTACGTGAGGACTTTTTTCTTCGGATGTAGTATCGCAAAATGACTCTTTTTTCACACTATGTGTATATATCATAAGATGAATGACATCCCTTCCCCGTTTCGGCGAATTTGCGATTATGTGAAGAACAAGATGCTCTGTTGCTATATCCAGTGTTTTCACGCTTACCCTAAGCTTAATTATGTTCTGCTCCGATTTTATGAATGACAGGTTAACCCAGGAGTGAAAACTGGGGAAATGTAAGGTATAAAAGCGTGCACTCCATCTGTGCAGCTATCGTAATCGTCTATACTTTCCTTTACTTATTTCTAAATACGAAAGACAAACAGAGCTATGCCATTTAGAAACCCGAGAAAGCTTACTGCTGCTGTCATCGGCACAGGGTACGTCTTAAAACTTGCCTAAAATCATTCACGCGGTTTCTCATAGGGTTTCCCATTCTCCCCCAGATTTTACGGCATATGCGCTGCTGTCCAGCTAGAAAAAGAACTTGGTATCAAGGCACAACTCTTTGAGTTAACCAATGATGTTGGCGGCACCTGGCAATCCAACACTTACCCTGGTGCCGAATGCGACATTCCTTCGCATCTATACTCGCTAAGTTTTGAACCCAATGACGGTACGTATTCAGTCACTTTTTCATTTTCGTTTGCCTCGTTTGAAGGCATAGATAGGAACCTCATATAACATATACTCCCCCCTTCTAGCTTGGACGAAGCATTACAGTGGTCAAGCTGAAATTTACGCATATCTTCGACGCGTTGCCCAAAAATATAACATTTACGGACAAACCAAGTTCGAAACCGAAGTTGTGTTTGCAGAATGGAAAGAACAACTGCAAAAATGGCACCTTCAGTGGAGAAACACAAACAACCACCAAGAAACAGGCTTTGGCTTCTATGACATTTTGTACGAAAACATCAGTGAGCGCAAGCTCTCTCTCTCTCTCTTTATATTATTATGACATTGTACTGTTGTACAGACACAGGCGTTTTGATTGAACAGATTATTACTAGGTTTGCTGGTCTTGGCCCACTCCGTGTGCCTAATATCCCGTCAGAATTCTCCAAGTTCCAGGGTCCAATTGTTCATACCACACAATGGAATTCATTACTTGACTATAGCAACAAAAAGATTGCTGTGATTGGCAGTGGTGCAACGTAAGCTAGTAATAAAATTAGGCTGCTATATAAAAATGGTATGGTAGTTGTTATTGACAAGTGGAATTAGTGCTGTCCAAGCTATTCCTGAGCTGCGTAAAATGGCCTCGCACGTTTACAGTTATCAAAGAACTCCTGCATGGATTTCACCACGAGGTATTATATTCTATAACGAAGAAGAGAAAGGGGAATTCGGAATTAACAGCATTAGAATGATATGATTATTTACAAACCGTCATCCTTACTGTAATATCAGATCAATTCAGCTATCCACGTATTCTGAAATTTGTGTTCCGTTGGTTTCCCTTTCTGATGAAAATGTACCGTTTCTTCTTGTTCCTACAGGTATGATGAAGAGCAATGTGTGCGCCGGAAAAAGGGGAAATCGTGTTGCTAACATGGTGTCTCAGCATGAAACCTTTTATATCAACTTTGGCTACTATAATTCGTGGTTCAGTCGTCGTATTGAGAAACTGTTCAAGCAAGTGGTAGCATGGCGCCTTAAGCGTGTCGGTCGTCCTGATCTTATCCCTATCTTGACCCCAGGTAAAAGAGGAAATTCTTCTAAACACCTCAAGTGAGAGGAAATCTACGCAAGTACTCAAAAAACAATACATAAATAATGTATGTGTGTATACGACGAGTGAAGATTACCCTGTTGGATGCAAGCGCGTTGCCAAGTCTGAAGTATATCTTGAAGCATTGGCCAAACCCAATGTTACAGTTATTCCATCTGGAGTAACTGATATCAAGGAGCGTACCTTGATGGATAAGAATGGAAACGAGATTGAAGTGGACATCCTGATCTTGGCCACCGGTTTTGATGTTCAGGGATTCACTGGAAATCTTGACAGTAAGCTTCTTTTTGTTGTATTACTATTCGTGGTGATTTGATAATTTCACTGACTGGATTGGCTTTGTTGCTGTGTCACCTTTAGTCTATGGAAGAAACCGCGTTTTGCTAGATGAAAAATGGAGAAAACATTTCCCAAAGACATACAAGGTAAGTCTAACGATCATTTGCGAGAAGAGAAGAAATCGAGTGGGAAGAGACTATCATGACAGCAACCCTTTAATCAGCTGATTCTGTTCAACAAAACTGCGCGTGTATTAGACTGTTACTGTCCATGGATACCCCAACTTCTTTATGTTGCTCGGTCCTTCCGCTGCACTAGGTCATAACAGTGTGGTTATCCAAATTGAAATGTAAGTCATTCAAAAAGAATATCTGTGTTAAGCTCAATACCGTGTAAAAGAAGTGTTCCTGTATTTATTTTTGGCAATCGTTATTCATTTAAACCTGTTACATTAGCCAAGTCAACTATGCTATCAAGTGCATTAAGCGTATGCTAAAAAAGAATCTAGCAGCTATCGAGCCAAAAGAATCGGCTCAAGATCAGTTCTCTAAAAAGCTGCAAAAGAACTTTGAAGGAACAGTGTGGAAAGGAGGTAATATAGTGACACAGCTGTATTTTTAAGCATAAGCGGTATATAGAAAACGACGAATGAAGCAACATATGCTGTCATATAATCGCTACTAAATTTTATCTACCTCCAAAAAAATAGGTTGCCGTTCTTGGTACATGAACGACGCAGGCGAGGTAAGAAGGGGATCATATGGCTCTGCATCAAAAGGAATTACAATTACTAATGATAGTAAAATATTGATGCACCGCTAGATTTATGGTCTCTGGAGTGGGCCAGTTACAAGCTTCTGGTGAGAGCTTCGCAATCCAGACTTTGGCCGCTTCATAGAATACGAGCAGGCATTACCGGCGAGCTTGTAAAATCCCACTGCTTTAATTAGTATGTAGCCGCAGTCGAACACACTAGAAGTAATTTATATCAAACATTTATATCAATGACAAATTACAGCAAATTTGATAATTCTCTTTTCTCTTATGTCCTTTATCGTCATCGATTTGTTACTACTTATATTACAGCAGGGAACGATTCCTCTCCTGTCTGGTTGTATATAAACAAGCATGATAGCATCGATGGCTGTGAAAGCAGTTTATCCACTTATATCGCACACACCGTCGCACGATCGTTCACAGTTATTTTCATTATCGATACTGAGCTATCGTAGAATGAGATACAATCTACTTAAATATTAACGTAGCAATTTTATTTACAAAACAGCTTTCGTTTTATTCATTAAGTGTACACAGAATTCAATGTCGTATAATACATTTTTGTCGAAACACAACCAAAGACATCTGTCAGGACCCGCAAGAGGGCGTACAGATAGTTTCTTCATTCTTGTGCAGGTCTGCCCATGTCGCTGATGGCTCTTCTATCATTGCTATTCTTGTCGACTTCGATCGATACCAAGAGCATAAGAGCACTTCAAAAAACTGTCTCACTTATGTGCTGAAAAAGAAAGGCACGGCTCACATAAGAAGTGCGATACTGGGATAAACGGTTGAAAGGTAAGATGCAACAGAAGAACATGTATGCATACTATATTACACTTATCTAGCTTTGCTTATTACCTGTGTTATGTATTAACACAGTATCATATAATTCGGAAAGAAGTCAGTTGTCTTTGAACGCGTGACGATGTGAAAGATTGTATGGACTAGTCAAGTTCCTCGTCGAGGCCAGGATCTTTCGCGCTGACCATTTAGCAATTTGCGAAAACTTACTTTTTTAAAGTAAATTTACAAGCTATGTGCCATGAGTATATCCTCCGAGTTGTGGGCAGAAGTATCATACATAGACAAGTTGACGATTCATTGGTGCCACATACATATCAATGCTATTGAGAGCGATTTCTGGATGACATGCTCCAAAGGAATAAATGTATGGTGTTGCTTGACTTGATTTTGTAAAGATTTTATTATCTGCAGCATTCTGCTAATATTCTGTGGAGCAAAAGTATGCTATTATATACGAATAGCAAGAAATAGGAGAAAGGGAGGTATAACAATTACAACATTATCATCGCTTACATGACAGCTTTTTTTAGAGACCTGCTATACTCTAAATCCTGTGTAATTATCAAAGACTCACCAGATGTTATTTGAGCCTACGTAAACGACTTGAAGCTGTTATCGGTTAGCTTATGATGGGGTGGTTTCTTTTACAGAGGACTAGAAAGTAAAAGTTATATTGATATTGTCGCCTCGTCCTACATGTCATATGGAGGTAAAAAGGAATGCAAGGGAATCAGCGGTTAGTATAGCGAGTTCCTCAATCAAAGCAAGAGCAATAGTGTGACATGCAAATGTTATGATACCTGCGCGTCGACCTGCGCGTGCTCTGGGAAGGGGAACTGCTTCAACTATGATTGGATCTCCTTCATCCAATACAGTCCTAGGTACACCTGCGTATCTACGTTTGTATCAATGATAATATGCAAAGATGTATACTGTCAGAGGCGTTTGTCGCTATCAAAATAGCACACACGGAGAGAAGAGAGAGACTGGATTAGTATTAGAGTGGTACCGTTGAAAGTTCAGCTCTGTTCCGAATTGATTCTTGTAGATTTTCTCAATATGTTCTCCATTGCGCTGAATACGCGGAATTACGGCACCGTGTCTTTTTTTGAGATGGCTGAAGAATCTTCTTTCCTGGGCATTGGTATAGCTTCTGTTGCAACCTCTGTAGGGGCAAAGCAGGTCACCTTCTATAATAAGCATATATAGATCATTTTCCAATAAGCAGACGATCACATGAAAAAATGTACTCATTTATCACAGAAATGCTTTAGACTTACCTCCTTCGGGCACCCGAGCTGGGGCTTGCGCTTGTTGCTCTTGTCGCTGCTGTTGCTCTTGTTGTCTTGACGATGATCTTGTATAGGTTTGATTCTGTTGTTGTCGTTGTTGTCGTGGCTGTGGCTCCTGATGTTGTAATGATGGTACTACAGAGGACCGATTCTGCTGTTGTAGTGGTTGCTGCTGACCTTCTTGGTGTCTTGATGACGAGGCTAGAGAGGCTGTCGTTTGCGGTTGTTGTTGGTGCATCAATGATGACGCTGCAACTTCATTTGTTTTCGTACGCTTTGGCGAAGACTGCTCCGGCGGCGACTCTAGTGATAGCCACAAAGGGGATGCTTCTGTTAGTAGACATCCATCTACAAGAATGTTTCTAGAATTAGGAGTCAATTGTTGTCTAGAGTTACCTGTGTTTGGTTGTTCTATTTCATCATTGTCATTCTCTCGAGCACGCTTTCTGACTAGTAACGGCGATGCTGATGTTGATGGCTGTTCGTTTAGTGCTCGTTGCACACTTAGTTGAGCTCCTGAGGTATCGGTTGCAGTGGGGTGTGTTTTATGTGACGCTGATGGTGACTCGACGGAAGAATTATCTGTGGTAGTATTATATCAGGATAAGCATCACATAATGGCTTTTCTTTATCGATCCAAATGTACACCTTCCAGACTTACGTTCATAAGCATTCTCGGTGTGCTCTTCTTTCACCACAGGTGCACCCGTTGTTCCTTGAGCTGCTAGCTGTTGCCCTTGCTGATTCGAAGAAATTGGTGCTGTTTCTTCCGTTTTCATTCGCTTTGGGTTTCTTTTTTCCAATGAACGCGCTAAGGATTTTAGAAATGGATGCAGTAAATGTTAGTATGTGTCCAATATCATAGTAGCAAAAAAAATTGATAATATTTGCTGCCCTGACTTGCCTGTGCTTTGGTTTTCTGACTGGCCCGTATTGGCGCTACTGTCATTAGCGCCGTCTGTATGTTCTGAATTTTCGGTCTGGCGAACGCGCTTCTGCCCTACGCGATCCGCTGTTGCTGTTGTTGCTGTTGGCTCTTCTTCTGTTTGGGCCTCGGCGGCAGTAGTGGTAGTAGTAGCAGCAGTAGCAGAAGCATCTCCAAACGAAAACGTGGACAATGGTGTGTCTATCATAATATAAACAGTAACATAAGCATTGTGTTCTGCAGTTACTTTTAGTGTTCGAATTGAACAATGTATTTTGATTCTTACTCGGCGTAGTGAATTCAACTACATCAGTGGTCTCAATACTTGTTTGTTCGGTTCTTTCTGAAGTAAGAAATTCGGGACCTTCCACTATTGATACGACACTTTGGTCTGAGAATAGAATGGTTGAAGAAAATCAACTACTGTTGCATTGTCTAGTTCTTAAAGTGTAGAAAAAGACGCGTAATTGTGTGCATGTAACTCGTAATCAAAGGTTGACATTTATAATACCTGTATTCCAGATTGCGTTGAAAGGTACGTCGGTATGGAAGACGTTGATTCCGAGTGCTGTTAAAGTGTTTTGCACAATATTCCACATTGTAGCGTTACTCGATGGAGAATATCAGAAGAGGTAGCGGCTCAAGGTGATTGGCAAGTTCAAGTGAAATAAGCGCGACTGCGCACCGGAGTTCAATATGCTGCATGATGGAATCGAGGATCCCACCATTTCGCACTATCTACATCGCATGGCTGCTTATAGTCTAATGACTTGCTACAAATTCACAACTAGCTATTGACTGGCGATATACGGCAGAAAAAATGTGTGGAGCAAAGAGGAGAGATGTAGACAATTATTACGATTAATACTATGTTAGTCATGATTACATCACATAAAGCAAAAATAGACCTATATTCCTAGACAGACAAAGCAACTAGTATACAAGTAAACATATTTGACAGGATACACTATATAAGAATGAGGTAGTATGTCAATAAGTTATATGGTACTCGTATTTTTGAAAAACATTATATAAAGGATTCATATGATATGAGTTTTGAGTTATGTAAACTACCTTCTACTGGTTCATCAGCAGCAGTACATACTACATGGTCAATAGCAGAGACATATTGGTATTGTCATTGCAATGATAAAAACAACAAGCTTATACAAATAAATAGTACTAGCTATACATACAGGTATTTTCCTTTTTATTATCATTGCTCGCCTTATTCTCTATCATTATACAAGCCAACTCGTCTGTATGTCAGCAACTGCATCTTACGCATATACATGCTAAAGAAGAATCTGGTAGTAGCTATTGAATCAAGGAAGAGAGTCAGCTCAAGACTCTGAAGGCACGATATGCTACATTATGAGCAATAACGCAATATAGTCTTCCTTGATATTTATAGGCGATGCAGGCGAGATATGAAAGGGATTGTACTGTCTGGTTTAAAAGAAGTCATAACTGTAGCTACAGTACTTTGGATTGAAATATATATGGATTTATATGATATTTTGGAGTGGCCCGCTTACAAGCTTGTGCAGATGGAGTTTTCGCAACCCTGACTATACTCAATTCATAGAGCAAAAAAAAAGCAGCACATGCGAACGAGTAGCATCACTACTTAACAGTTAGTATATAGCCGCACTTGAAACGTTAGTAATCAATGTTCATCATACATGATTCATTTTACTGTCGTAATACTTATACATATACTACATTCGACGTTCTTCTATAAACGGCTGCACACTTGTTTCAAAGAAAAAGTGATTATTTTGCTTTGATTGTCATCCAGTGGTATGAGTAGTGCTTACCGAGGAATCGGTACCATGTATAGTATAAGACATATCAATTCCACAGCGTCCTTATTGACAACAACTGCCCCACGCAATATCTTGCCAAGAACGTCTCTGTGCCTGAACAAAATAGTAGTGTCCGTTGGTTAAAGCATACGATAACTTTGCAAGCATAATACAATCAAATCTCACCAGAATATGGAAACAATGCACATTTCCCTTTTAGTGTGCGTACTTTTGAAAAAATAAAAGCCGCTACTAAATTTTATCTACCTCCAAAAAAATAGGTTGCCGTTCTTGGTACATGAACGACGCAGGCGAGGTAAGAAGGGGATCATATGGCTCTGCATCAAAAGGAATTACAATTACTAATGATAGTAAAATATTGATGCACCGCTAGATTTATGGTCTCTGGAGTGGGCCAGTTACAAGCTTCTGGTGGGAGCTTCGCAATCCAGACTTTGGCCGCTTCATAGAATACGAGCAGGCATTACCGGCGAGCTTGTAAAATCCCACTGCTTTAATTAGTATGTAGCCGCAGTCGAACACACTAGAAGTAATTTATATCAAACATTTATATCAATGACAAATTACAGCAAATTTGATAATTCTCTTTTCTCTTATGTCCTTTATCGTCATCGATTTGTTACTACTTATATTACAGCAGGGAACGATTCCTCTCCTGTCTGGTTGTATATAAACAAGCATGATAGCATCGATGGCTGTGAAAGCAGTTTATCCACTTATATCGCACACACCGTCGCACGATCGTTCACAGTTATTTTCATTATCGATACTGAGCTATCGTAGAATGAGATACAATCTACTTAAATATTAACGTAGCAATTTTATTTACAAAACAGCTTTCGTTTTATTCATTAAGTGTACACAGAATTCAATGTCGTATAATACCACTGTAGGAAAATTCTTGTGAATTTTAAATTCTTGTAAACACTAAGTAAAGTAACAAGAATTCTTGTGGATTCTTGTGAATTTAAAGTAGCGATAAAGCGGTCACGCGTTCACAAGAAAATCAAAGCGGTCACACGTTCACAAGAAAATCACAAAACGTTTTGTGGAATACCAAAGCGGTCACACGTTCACAGGAAAATCACAAAACATTTTTGTGGAATATTCATTATATAGATTTTAAAAAATAGCTTTATTCAATTACATGATACTAGCTAAGGTTTATTGATTGATGGAATACTGGTCGAGCGTATACAGATGAAAACCACCCCTTTCTCTCTCTCTATATATCACATACACTCTCGCTATATATATACGTGTATGTGTGTGTGTTTATACAATAATCAACTTTCTGATACTTTAACTTACCTTTTAATTATGTATA